TCAGCCTACCCTATGAATTTTAAACAAGCTAACTTCCAGAGTCGTATGGTCCAATTCCTTAAAATAAATATCTGTATATGTATGTTTTTGTATGTTATATATATATATATATATATATATATATATATATATATATATATATATATATATATATTTCTGTTTTTCTAGAAAGCCCTGATTGATACACATAAAGAGTGAGCAAAGAAAACAACTCGAATTTGTGTAGATGTTTTCCACTTTATAGTAGTTATTTGAACCTAATGATATTTCTGAAGTTTGGCAGTACCTAATTACAACACCAAATACATGTATGTGAGGCAAGACATGTACAAGGTAATACACTTTAAAGGGTACAGCTGTGCTGCTAAGAAGTTAGGCCAGGGGAACCCAAGCATTATCTGAGTCTAGTTCTCACCCCTCAGCTCAAAGAAACATTTTCCCGTGTTTGGAAGCCGGGGCTGCTGTCACTAACATGGTTGTCCCTCTACCACTGGGAAGCACCTCATTACTGCACAAATGTTCCCTTAGGTATTTAGAGAAACACAAGTACAGCGTAGAGTTGGTTTTACAGACTATAACCGTATTGATTCTTTTTAGAAGCAGAGAACTGCAATGCATGCAGACCTAACAAACAAAACAAAGGACCAGTTTGGGAGGGAGAAAAAAAAACCAAACAAACTTGCTTTGCACAGCAGGAGACGACGTTTTGGCAGCTGAGCAGGGTAAGAGCTTCAGGAGGCGCTCTTTGATGCTGCGCTTGGTGCTGTTCTGGGCGTAGAGGAAACCTAGAAGATACGCGACGGTTCCGTTAAAGCCTCTTCGGAGAGCACCTGGGGCGGGTTGCGCGGTTTAGCAGAGGAAGCCCCGCAGGCAGACCCTGGCTGGAGGCAGCCCCCGGCTCTGGCAGTCACAAGCAGGAGGGTGGGACCCCAGAGCGGGGAGACACGTCCTTTCCCCCCCCCTTGTTTTTCTCATGTTTTACGTTTTCTTTTTAAACCTTTTCCTTATGATACATTAAAGATAATAACTATCAAGTGAAAACAGAATTATGCAAGTATACTGAGAGTGCCAAGGAGTGTATACACATTTTTTTAAAGCTTTTATTGGGGAATTGGGGGAGGGGAACAGTGCTGGGAAAGTGGGGGAAGGGGAACAAACAAGTTGCTGTCATTTTGTTCTTCAGTCTAGTTGTGGAGGACGTTGCTTCACTGGCCCAAGTTGGCACCATCATTGCGCTCTTCCNCTGGTAATTCACTTTATCTTTGTATGCCCCAGCCTGATAAAGGGATGAAGTCAGCCAGCTGTGGAGTCAGAATCCCAGGTCTATTATTTGGGGAAGTTGTTTTATCTTCTCTGTGCCTCAATTTTCTCAGCCATTTTATGGGGAAGATACTATTGTACCTGCCTCAGAAGGTGGGTGGGATTGTCAATTGAGTTAATAGTTGTCATACATTCATATTCATGTTGTTTCCTGTGCTAAGTCCTTTGCATGGACTATCTTGTTTAGTTCCCACAACGACCCATTTTTCTAATGGTCTTTCTTCCTGTACCGTGAATTAACCGCGTGAATTTCCTCCTGAGAAACTTCACACGTGCTATTTTCTCTTTCTTGGGACTCTCTGCCACTGTGACACTACTGGCTTCCTCTTGGTCTCAAATGTCACCTCATCAATGAGACAGTCAAATTAACTCCTCTACCTGAATTCATTTTCCATCATATTATCACAGGTTTACCTTCCTTTATAATAAGTCATGAATTCCTGAGATTTTCTTTGTTTCCGTGTTTATCATTTCTCTTCCCATGTAAGCTCTGTGAGGGCAGTGAACTGATGTTGTATTTTCTGCTCTAAAACTAGTGCCTGGAATCCTGCTTGTCACACATGGTCTCCTAAAAAAAATACTGTGGAATGAATGACTGTCAGGAAACTAAGGGGCCAGCCAGAGACTTGATCTAAATGACACCAGGCATGATGTTTAGGAAGAGGCACACCAGGACTTCAAATGAAGGCAAGGAGGACGCTAGAGCACAGGCTGCCTCCATCTTCCTCTTTCAATAGCTGTTGAAGGGATAATGAGGGTCTGAGCAAGAGCCCTACCACAAGAGATAAAAAGAAGTTAATTTTAAAAGATATTTCAGAGAAAAATTAACCAGAGTTGAGTGACCTGATAAGATGGTGAGTGGGGGAGCATAAAATGGAGGGTAGACGATTCTAACCCCAGCAACCACACAGCTAGTGGGGCCAAGGAATGATATGAGAAACCTGGGGAGTGGGGCTGTGTGATGATGATCAGGCTGCTACACCTGGCTGGTGCTCTCATCTGCACTCTGGCAAGAGGGTTCAAAGTGCAGAGGGCAATTGGCTGCATAGGGGATGGGGCCAAAAAGTTCATCAAGCTAATCCTTATCTTATGGTATTGCCAGCCTCAGTCACTATCTCACTTCTCATTCTTCATGGGTGGGGAGTTATTAACGTCAGGAGGAAGACATTTGAAGGCCTACATTAATTCTCCCTTGATCATATCCATCATCCCTGTTCAGCTACCAGTCAGGCTGCTCCATTGGAGATCACTGCTTAGAGCTGTCACCTCCTTCACACAGCCATGTCTGTTGTGCCCCAAACCTGTTCAAAGCAGTTGCACTTTGATATTTGTCTGACAGTATTCTGAAACATCAAAGTCAAGATATGTGGTTTAAAATAGAAGTTTGGGCTTTTAATTTGTGCTGTTTTTTAAAGGTGAGTAATACATTTGATTTTTTAAAATTTAAGAATGTCTGTGATTTTTCATGTAGAAAATCTTTGTCATGTATTACTTCTTTTAATACTTCCATTTTAGGTGCAAACAGCTGAACTAATGTTTAAGTCTGCATTTAACAAATGACTATAAAATGTATATAATTTCCAAATATTGAGGCTGTTAAATCTATGTAACAAAAAACTCAGGAAATAATACACATGATGTGTTTAAATATTTGAAAAGCCAACCCAAAAGACAATTTTTTAATATACATTGGGAAGCTTGCATTCACATAATTTAATTTTTTCATCCAACATTTCCAAAGTTGGGGGAAAATAATCTAAAAAGCATATATAGGTATATGTATACAGATGTAGGTACATAAATATATGCACAGATATGTTTATCTCAGTGCTATTTATATTATGGGGTAAAAAGGGAAAAATATCTAAATATCTAAAAGCCAGGGATCTGGTCAAATACAATATGTGGTAACTATACAATGTAATATCATGGTTGCCATTAAAAATGACATTTATAGAGTTTTAATAATAAGGTTAATATTGATGAAAGTATGCAATGTAGAAAAAGGATACAATTTTGGTATGGATGGACTCTCATTGATGCACACACAGCAATGGAAAAACCATATTACTACATACCTATTACTTCAAGGTAGGGGAGTGTGGTAGGATTATAAGTGCGCCGTGTGGTGTGAATAGGGTGTGTGTGTGATTGCTTATCTTTTTTTGTACTTTCCAAATTTACTGCCATGAACGTGAGTAACTTTTGTAAATAAACCATTCACCTTCCCAATACCCAAGGAGAAGGCGGAGGAGGAGGAGAGGAGGAAGGCTGTCTGTCCAGTGGAAGGAGGGGCCGGCACTGCAGATGACTCTCATGAGTGGGACTAAGGACCAATACAGTTGGAAGTTAAAAGGAAGAGTGATTTGGGGTCACTGAGGAAGAATGCTCCTTAAAGCTATCACCAAATGGGTGGCTTCCTGAAGAAGCTGTGCTGTCCCCTGGTGGTGACAGGCGTCCGCCTGGGAGCTAGAAGTGTGGCTACATGTCTCGCTACGCTCCCTTCCAACACTCAGGCTCCCTGATTTGGGGAATCTGAGCACTCCACAGCTCAGCAGTACAGGCTTTTCTGCAGAGAATATTTTTTCTTTTGTTATTTGCATAGTATTGATAAATCTCACATTCCTGCTAAGAGGACTGCAAAGCCCTTTCTCAACTGCCTTCCTGGAAAAAGAAAATGAAACTTAGAGTGTGTATTGGCCCTTTATTAACTAACTTTCAGGCCCTCGCTTTGCAGCTGCGTGGGATCCGGTGGAGAATACTTCTCAGCTGCTCTGCGGGCCAGTGAAGCCTAGAACCAGCCCAGGTGGACCTCACCTCACTTCACCGTGGGACTATCTCTGTGTGTGGTCCAGCATACAGACACTCGGTGCCCGTGCTTTCCCTACTGGTGGCCTAGGGTCCTATGCCACTCTGGTACTTGGCTCTAACCACCTGTCTTTTGCTTCATATCATCTTTTCAGTTCTGTGTCCCACTGCTTAGGGCCCAGATCATAGGTAGGGATCTAATGAAAACACTTGGAAAGTAGCATAGCAGTGGAATTAATGCGGTCTGCTTTCCAAGTAATTTACTTCCACATGCTGGGGTTTTCTTGTGATGGGTAGCTAATGGGGAAAGTGGTAGCTATGGCGGGTGGGGGTGAAGGGAGAGTTTTATATCCATACACCCTTTGGGGTCCACAAATCATAGGCCATATCTAGCGTGGGTTCAATATCAGCCAGTTTTCTGAAATCCCATTTTTATAAACATATCAGTTTTTAGAGTCATTCCGCTCATTTCTTAGTATCTTCTTCTTTTTTTTTTTTTTAAGGAAATGTTCTGATTTCTTCTTCACACTTGGTTGAAAATGGCAGTGCACCCACTGTGAACAGTTATTTTTGGGGGGCTTTATCAAGTATTAGTGTAGGTAGAATGCTAAAAAAGGCATGATGATTTTTTTCTTCCCTGAGTGAATATAGAGATTTGTTTCAAAGTTACATTTTACCGGTCTACTTTGTACAATGACTATATTTCTGGTAAATAACTGGTAAATTGTCAATTTTGATTCCTCCTTGAAAGGAGAAAAGCAATGGCTCTAATAACCAACATTCGCTGACAAATAGTGATAATAAAAATAGCTGCAGTTTCAGTATCCTGTTGGATGAGGGTTTGGGCATTATTCTGGATCATGGCCTTTGAGGTTGCCGACGACATGTTATGTTTTGTTTGTGAGATGGCACACGTGTGTGTGTGTGTGCAATGAAGGTAAAAACAAAGTGATATTTCTCAACCATAATTTTCATTTTTTTGTATATAGGATTGTTACTTCTAAAAGTAATTTTGTCCTGTTCCCTTTCTCTACAGAATGATCTAGAAGGATAGGGCTTTTTAAAAGGTGTTTTATTTACTGCTCTGCCTCCCAGCCCAGGCACAGGAACTGACATATAATAAAGATACGTTGAATTAATTAAGTCGTTATTATGATATATTACTTTTGGTCAGTGCCACTGAAATAAATTAGTGTTCTATTCTGACACTTTTGACGGGATGCATTGGGTTGTTTGAGGTACTTTCCATATTGTCTCCATTTCTATTGTGGAGACTAGTGAAATTTTAGGACATTTACATTTTGAAATCACTAACTGAGGCCATTCGTGCCTACAAAATGGCGTAGCAGAATATAACTAGAGTAGGTGAAGAAGACATGGGTTACAGCCCCTCACCTAAAAGGTTCAATTAGCTTCTCAACGTTTAGTTTCCTCACTGGCAAAGAACACCACCTTCTCTGTCTGATTCTAACAGTTCAATGTTTGAAAAAAGTTGTGTATTATAGAATGTTTGTGAATATAGAACATTTGCAAATGTTCATTATAAATTAGATATAGCATCCTTAAAAAAATAATTTTTCCTTTAGATATTCTTTATTTTCTACTCTGTAAGAATGCCACAAAATTGGAGACAAAGAAAAAATGGGGAACAT